AACTGTATTTCATGGCAGTGAGTTCGGCCGTATTTTATATAATTGTGTATATATAAAATATTATTTTTATTCTTAATAACATATTATTATTATTGTTATTATTATCAATATCGAAAACAGCATTTATTTCAAGTAGAAATCTTTTGTAACATTGTAAATGTCTTCAATGTCACTTTTGATCAATTTAATGCATCATTGATGAATGAATGAAACTATATATATTTTTAAAAATCTTACTTAGCCCACACTTTTAAATGGTACAATCATTATAATGTTTTAGCCTTATTTTGCAGAGTATTAATGTCTAAGATTTGTTGACATATTTCTCCGCAGGGGCAAAATGAATGGAGTAATATTGTGGAGAGTTGGTCTGGCACTATGGGGAAGCAATCTTACTCTTATCTTATTAAAAGCAACAACACTGTTAGTTTCACCTGGGGTTTTCAGCGTACTGGGATCTTCAGCATGGTAAGATTAAACCGCAATCTCTTACTACTTTCCTGTTTGATTTTTACTGTTTACTGAGGTTTTAGACTCTAAAACGCTTTTGATGATCTATGGCTGTGTGTCTGTCTTACAGAAAAATGAATACAGCTCTGACTATGCTAAGATCTACTCTGTTCACCTCACTAATGTGATTGGGGGTGTGGCTTCAGAATGTCGTCAGTGTGCTCTAGCTGCCGTTGACTCTGACTCAGCCTGCGTGCCCTGCCCTCCAGGACACTACATGCTGAACGGCACTGGAGTGTGTAAAAGCTGTCCCTCAAATACCATCATCAGGCCCGAGCAGCCAATCGGAAAGCAAGCCTGCATACCTTGCGGACCCAATACTTACAGTAATGAAGTAAGCATTATTTTTTAATTATTAAGCATTATTTAAAAGAAATTCAACTTTTAAAACTCGTCTCTAGACCATGTGCTCTTTTCTATTCCACAAACGTGTTCTGTGTGAACAGCCCCCCCCCCCTAATATTTGTAAATAGTACAAATTATATTATTTGTAAATAATATAAATATCGATTTTCACAAATCATGCACTTTCTAACTACTTAATATATATATTCACTTCTGTTACATATGCTTGTCCTCTCTGTTCACAGGGCCGTTCTGCATGCATGAGTGACTGTACATTAGCACTACATCATAAAGGAGAGATGCTGAATTATGATTTCTCTCCGCTGGCAAATGTCATAGGTTTCCAGAGCAGCCCACGCTTCACCAGTAAAGGGCTGCAGTATTTCCACCATTTCAGTGTGGCGCTGTGTGGGACAGAAGTACGTGAATAAATTAGACCACATTCAGTTTTTATGAATGACTAAAGTGTAAAGTATGTAGTGAGTTGTAAAAATTCAGAATCAAGCATTAATATGTGTCTTTCTGTCATTAGAACAGGGCTCTTGCATCCTGTTTGGAAAATGTGACTGAAAGCAAGAGGGATGTAAAAGGCTACATTTGTCAGTCTACTGTAGTGCCTTCTGAGGTCAGGGGTCAGAGTGTTGTGTCCTCTCAGCCCTTCAGTATTGGAGATAGTTTAATCGGTGAGTGCTACCAATGCTTTGAAATCTATATCAAATACACCTATCCCAGTGGGTCCTGTGGATTCATCAAATGGAACATTTTTATACTCAGGAGTGACTACTGACTTTCAATTTGATGACATCTCATCATTGGAGGGCAACTTTCCTGTTGAATCAGAGCTGCCTGATGTCATGTTCTACTACAGGTGAGTGTACTTGCTTACAACGATCTGTGTTTAGTTTATTCAAATGCTTTTATTGTTTTCACAAAGACTTTTTGTTGACCTCAAATTCAAGTATCTCAGTTTATTTAGTTAAGTAGACTTATCTGATATTCTTCCCATTATGGTGTCAACAGATCTAGAGAAACTACGCAAGCATGTAAAAATGGAAGATCTGCCTCCATTAGGCTCCGATGTGATCCCACTGTAACACTGAAGAACCATGTTTCGCTTCCAAGGTACAATATGAAAATTGCTTCATATTTTCTGTCTATCTGTCTATCTATCTATCTGTCTGTCTAATATCGGTCTTTATTGGTTGTTTTCTGTGTGTGTGTGTGTGTGTGTGCGTTTGGTATAGCAACTGCTCAGAGGGCACCTGTGATGGCTGCTCCTTCCATTTCCTGTGGTGCTCCCAGTATGCCTGTCCTCTCTGTTCCGAGAGGAACATTAAGGAGATTGTGAGCGCTTGTATCCAAGGAATTCAGGTATATGTCAACTCGCATCATGATAAACCACGCAGATTCTGAATTAGACTATTTTCCCACTCTGAATGTTTTTATTTGACCATTTATTAGCTAAATGTGTTTGTTTCTCAGAGGACTACTTATGTGTGGCAGCAACCTCTGAGGTGTACAGGTGGGGTGTCACTGCCTCCTCAAAAGATCAGTGCCTGTGTGACACTAGACTTATGGCTTAAGTTTGGCGTCTCTATCGGAACTGTTGCCGCCATATTGCTCATTACCATCAGCTGCTACTTCTGGAAAAGGACACGCAAGTGAGAGTTCATTACTGAAAGTGATATTTAAAAATGAGACCAAAAACTGTTACTTTAACATCTAGTAATAAAACTGTTGAAGTGGAAAACAAAGCAGCATACATGTGAAATTACCTATAGGCTTAATTGGGTCTAATGAAATTGTACATAAAGTTTGATAAATTGTTGATGGAAAAGTTTTTTTCCCCCACTATATTGTTAAATAAAATAAAATATAGCCTCGTTGTTGTTTAACTTTTTTTAAAAAATAATGAAGGCTGCTGTATGTATAAGTGTATTCATGCCCTCTCTTTAGGCTGCAGTATAAGTACTCAAAGCTAATGATGACTGCAGGAGATAAGGAGTGTGAACTTCCAGCTGCAGATAGTTGCGCCATCATGGAGGGAGAAGATGCAGAGGATGACCTCATCTACCTCTCCAAGAAGTCTTTCTTCACTAAGATCAAGTCATTTTCCAGAGAGGTAAGAAGGTCACAAGATAGACTTCAGCTTGGCCGTACTGTTAACTCTATAGCTTTATTCTTGATGTAATGGACACTATACATGTTTTTAATGTTACAATAATATTAGCATTAACAGGCATTTCTTGACAAAGTTCTGTTATTTTACAGAGAACGTCAGATGGCTTTGATTCTGTTCCTCTAAAATCATCAGCTGCACAGGAGATGGAGATGAACTAGATCTTCTCAGATATGGGGAGAGCCAGCAAGAAATGTTTGGCCTGTCACAAGACATCCTCAACGCTATATTTGACAATATAACATCAATACATTTATTCCCAAAGAGACTGAGCTAAGACAAAATATTGAAAAACAACTCTGCCTTATTCAAGTCACCTCATAAACCTGTGATTGTTTCAGTTGCATCTCCTCTGGATTCAGCAGACCGGAGGCAAGACTGGCATAAGAAGATTTTAAAATATTTTTTATGCTGTTTTTATATATATATATATATATATATATATATATATATATAAGACCTATATCATTGTTTATATTGGCCTACACATGTTTTTTAAATACCAAACACATATGCTTGTGAAAGATAATGCTGGAAAATTTACATTGCATTTATTTGACACGCCATTTTGTGATATATATCAAATATATGTTTTTTTTCTCTTCATTTGTGCCAGTGAGATGTTTTCATGAGTTGAGAGCTACACTTGCAAGTGCTTGCCATATGTTGCATTTTTCATTTTTTTAAAGCGTTCAAATGTTTTGGCATACTAGCATTTATGTTGTGCGTACCTTTTTTGTTATTTTTGATATGTTATTTGTATTTTAGGAAATGCCATCTTGTTTGTAATGGGTTTCTTAAAGAATATAGCCTAATTTGTTTATCAAAGGGGTTATATGATGCTTTTTTAAAGATCATTATTTGGTGTATTTGGTGTAACAGAATATGTTGACATGCTTTAATGTTCAAAAAACACATTATTTTTCAAATGCTGTACATTATTGTAGGTCCTCTATGCCCCGCCTCTCAAACGCTTAGTTTTCTACAAAGTCCCTCCTTCCGACAAGTGCAGTCTGCTCTGATTGGCCAGCTGATCCAGTGCATTGTGATTGGCCGAACACCACAAGCACTCGTCGGAAATGTAACGGCCCTTACCATAATCGCGAGCTTCATCTTTCAAAATAAATGTAAAGACAGAGCCCGAAAGGGTTTACAGAAGCAACATACATCTATATGTAATATAATACAGTAATATGGCATAATAAAATGTAAATGTGCTGGAAACATCAGATCAGGGCAGGGAGAGTGTTTTCTCTTCTATGGTGACAGGCAGACACATTGAGCAGCAAACACACAGCAGTTATTCTGTTCTCATAACAGATACGGCAGTTTCTCCTGGTTTGAAAGAGTTTTAAATGTCTGATGGATCTGCTGTATTTTATCATAGAAAACTGTCCGTATATTTGTGTATTTGGGGCATTCTGTTAGGAAGTGCAGCTCTGTTTCCATCTGATTCAGATCACAGTGTGAACACAGTCTCTGCTCCGGTGGCAGCCATGTTTTTCTGTGTCTGCCCGTCTCTATCATCAGCTTGTGTCCGCTGAGTCTGTATCTGGTCAACGTGCTTCTCAGTTTCTTATCTGACACTGTGTACAGATACTCTGCCATACTGTACTCTCTCTTTAGGGCCAGATAGCATTGCACTTTACTCTGCTGTTGTGTTTGGGTTTGCCAGTGAGTGATGTAGTTCTGTTTGATTTGTGCAGTAATCTGACTGATTCTGATGCTGTGATTCAGAGCAGCAGTAGATGTTAGTGAAGCATCAGGACTGAAGCTCTGGATCAGCAGATATTTTCAGCCAAATTCTTATGGGGATTTCTATAGGACATTGCCATTTTATGGCATAGAAGCAAAGTACAAACAAAACAGTAGCTGATTCAGAAGCGCCAGATTGTCATAGCAAAGTCAGAATTACCTCCTCTCCTAGGTTCACGAAGAAGATTGATGCTTTAGAAGAGAGGTTTAAGCAGAGGTCAAGTGACTTCCAGAGGATGCAAGGCCAGCTCAAAACCATTAAGCATTTTCACAAAATAAAGGCCAATCTGGAAGAAGACCTAATCAGTGTACTGCACAGTTAGTACTAATAACTATTTAATGTAGAAAGCAATATAGATGCATAAAAACATCTAAAGTGATTCTTGTGCTTTTAGATGAGAGAAACATTTTTATATCGCTGACCGTGGACACCAAGAGAGTCTGGCGAGAACAGAATACAAGTTCTACACAGCACGGGTGAGAAAACCCAGATGCAAAATATTTTATACATCCATTCATAAATAAGACATTATAGATTATGCATAGAAACATTTCAGAAAGTGCATTTACCAGCATATTTAAAATCCATTTGTTATGGATTTTTAGATACTTTAGATACCATAAGTGCCAAAATACACGCTAGAACAGTCAGCGGTATATTTTTCTATATAGATTCACTTTGAGAAGGAAGCGGAGCAAAAGATCACTCAGCGCATCATGAAGCTATTGCGTGAGCAGCTATTCTTTTAATTCTATTATTGAATCCATTGCTCATTCCAGTCATTCCGATTAAAGACTGCATATAAGACCTTTGTATGTGTATCATTTGTGTTTATTGAGTCAAATCTTCAGTTTTTGCTCCCAACAGGCAGCTTGGTACAGCTTCACATTCTGTGTTCAAGGAGAATGTACGGTTGAATGAGGCACTGAATTATTATGTGAAAGAGGCGGAAGAACTGAAGAGGACCAATGTAGCCTTGACAGAGAAGAATGCTTCTCTTGCTCTCTTAAAGGTGCTATCACTAACAGACAATCAGAAATTTTAGGAGTCAGTTTCTATATAGAGTATTTAATTAAAGCGTAAGCTTAATGACATCAAAGTACAATTTAACCTTGTAAAACCTGACATAAACCTGAATATATAGTGATATATTTAATATATTTAGATTATGGAGCTCTCACTCGAGAAGGAAAAGAATGCATCAGTTTTATTCAGAGGCCCAGACTGCACAAAAATATGCATTTTGGTGCAGATATTGCTATTAGTAAGATGATATTTAAATGCTTAGTTTTATGATCAAAGTTTTGTAGTTATTGTGTGAGCAAAACATGATGCAATTATGTTTGAAAGATGTACAAATAAGTGTTCCTCAAAACCCTGATGTATCATATTTGATTCTCACTTTTTAAAATATATATGAGCAGCTCGCGAACCAGCGATACAGAGCCGAGAAAGACACAAACGATATTATTGCTTTTCTTGAAGAGAACAGACATTGAAAAGACAGCAACGGTTAGTCTGCACTTCGTTATGTTACATCTCTTATCATTTATAAGGCTGATAAACATTTCCGTTTATCCACCTGTGCTGTTCATTTCCTACAATTTTTTCTCCTATAAGATTGCTGCATTAGAAGAGCAACTGAAAAGAGAAAAAGCAAAAGATTTACAAGAGAAAGACCTTCTGGTAAACATTAAGATACTGAGTTATTTTCCAAATGAATTAGCATTGTGTCAAGCTGTAACAGTTGAATTTCAAGAAGCTGTTATCATGCAAGACTTGAATTTCACCCCTCATTCGTTTCAATTGACTGGCTGTTGCAGGTGGCTGAATACATGGTGAAGATTGATGCTTTAGAAGAGAGGTTTAAGCAGAGGTCAAGTGACTTCCAGAGGATGCAAGGCGAGCTCAAAACCATTAAGCATTTTCACAAAATAAAGGCCAATCTGGAAGAAGACCTAATCAGTGTACTGCACAGTTAGTACTAATAACTATTTAATGTAGAATGCAATATAGATGCATAAAAACATCTAAAGTGATTCTTGTGCTTTTAGATGAGAGAAACATTTTAGTCTGGCGAGAACAGAATACAAGTTCTACACAGCACGGGTGAGAAAACCCAGATGCAAAATATTTTATACATCCATTCATAAATAAGACATTATAGATTATGCATAGAAACATTTCAGAAAGTGCATTTACCAGCATATTTAAAATCCATTTGTTATGGATTTTTAGATACTTTAGATACCATAAGTGCCAAAATACACGCTAGAACAGTCAGCGGTATATTTTTCTATATAGATTCACTTTGAGAAGGAAGCGGAGCAAAAGATCACTCAGCGCATCATGAAGCTATTGCGTGAGCAGCTATTCTTTTAATTCTATTATTGAATCCATTGCTCATTCCAGTCATTCCGATTAAAGACTGCATATAAGACCTTTGTATGTGTATCATTTGTGTTTATTGAGTCAAATCTTCAGTTTTTGCTCCCAACAGGCAGCTTGGTACAGCTTCACATTCTGTGTTCAAGGAGAATGTACGGTTGAATGAGGCACTGAATTATTATGTGAAAGAGGCGGAAGAACTGAAGAGGACCAATGTAGCCTTGACAGAGAAGAATGCTTCTCTTGCTCTCTTAAAGGTGCTATCACTAACAGACAATCAGAAATTTTAGGAGTCAGTTTCTATATAGAGTATTTAATTAAAGCGTAAGCTTAATGACATCAAAGTACAATTTAACCTTGTAAAACCTGACATAAACCTGAATATATAGTGATATATTTAATATATTTAGATTATGGAGCTCTCACTCGAGAAGGAAAAGAATGCATCAGTTTTATTCAGAGGCCCAGACTGCACAAAAATATGCATTTTGGTGCAGATATTGCTATTAGTAAGATGATATTTAAATGCTTAGTTTTATGATCAAAGTTTTGTAGTTATTGTGTGAGCAAAACATGATGCAATTATGTTTGAAAGATGTACAAATAAGTGTTCCTCAAAACCCTGATGTATCATATTTGATTCTCACTTTTTAAAATATATTTTTTTTAAATTATGTATGGATAATCATGTAAATCTAAGTTGCTTCAGTACATTACGTGTTTATATTAAAATATTACTAACAATATGAAATTTCGTATTATATTAAAATTACTTTACGTTTACTGAGAGAGAAATTTGTGTCAAATATGATACAGTAGGCTTTATAGAGTCAACTAAGTTAGCTTTCAGAGATGCTTAGGTTTGCCATTGTTTTCATCACATTGCATCTGTCCAGTAATGTAGACTGACTCTCCAACTGATTCATTCTGCAGGAGACGAATGAACTGATGAGAAAAGAAAGCGATTCCCAGCTGAGATCCCAACAAAATGAGATTTCCGAGCTGAGGGCTAAATTGGTCACACTTGAGCAAGCTCTGGGCATCAAATCTGGGGAGTTTGAGCAGGAGAGAGAAGAGGTGGAGCGGCGTGCCATGGTCAGCATGCAGGCCAACAGCACAGACCTCGAAAGATTGGAATTGCTTCTAGATGCCCGCGAAAAGGAGCTGGGCCAAGTGAAACGGCTGGCTCAAAGCATCATCGAGCAGCGCAAAGAACTTGAGCTCTTCTTTCACGAAACTCTTGACCATGTGAGGAAGGAAATAAGAACACAACAACAACTCTACAGGTTTGCTCAAGTTATGAAAACTAAACACTGCTCTGTGAAATATCCTTTACTAGGGCATTTTGAAGATTCAGCTTCACATTTGGAAGTGCTTCACGCATTTGAAGATGATCTTGTATGTAGACAGGAGATTCTGAAGGCATATCGCTGGAGAATGAATGAGGCTCGGGCTGGAAGGTTGGAGTATCCTCGTATACAGACCTTCTCTAATGCCCCGCACAGCACCAACGATGTTCAGACTGACCTGGAAGAAGCTGACAAATGGTGTGAGAGCTGTTAGTGCAGAATTAATTGCTCTTAAGGTACATCACTAATCAAGGTGACTATGATGATGAATATGGTCTGGTGTCATTTTAGGAGCAACTTGAAAAGCTCCAGTGTGGATATTTCTGATCTAACATGGGAACAGAAAGAGAGCGTACTCAATTTGCTTTTTGTTAAATTGAATGGGCAAAAAACAAGGTAAATAGATTTATAATTATAAAAAAAAAAAAAAAAAAAAAAAAAAAAAAATATATATATATATATATATATATACACACACACACATATATAAATACACACACATTATATATGTTATATTGAGAAAACCACAAATGAATACAAAATTATATATTTTTTAAATATAGTTTACTGGATGGAATTCAGTATTTATTTTGAATGTTATTGTTGTTAACCAAAATATTTATTTTATTATTAAATATAAAAATTTACATTAAAAACACAGAAAGTGATATCCATTGGAATGTGCGTAGGATCCGAATGGGTAAAAAGGGATTTGGATATTGCACTGTTGTTCTGTATGGAAGACATTTGCCTGAAATGACTTCTCACTGCCACTCCATCACTCAATGAAACAGCATCCAGAATTCAGATTTAGATTCTCTTAGGCCTGGATTTCTTTGCATTTCACATAGGGCTGCACAATTAATCGTATTTCTAATCGCGATTACAATTATGGATGCCACAATTACGCAATCGTTCAAAGCGGCAATTAATCGTTCAAATTCCACTTATGTTATTCTGCATGCTTAAGATGCGTTTTTTTCTTTATACATGTTATCTTAAGAGTTTTTCCATTGTTTTAATTTTAGTTTTAGTATAACATTAGAATACCATTCATATTTTTACTTTTTTTATAATTTAAAGAAGAAACCAATCCGATGTATAGTTGACATTTGAGGCTTAATACTATGGAAACGCACTAAAAGTTTTTCAGTTAGAGTGTTTTCAGCTTTGTTTATTTTCATATAAAAATAAGGCATGCAGTTGCATCAAACAATGGTATAAACATCATTCAATGTAAATTGTGATAATCGTAATTAACAATCACAATTTCAAGGGAATAATCGACAATTATGTCGTGTATAATCGTGTAGCCCTAATTTCACAAATTCCTTGAGGCAGTTCAGGGTCCCAAATGCTTAGTGATGATTTCATCCTTGTGTGAAAGTGTCCTGGTTTCTGTAGTGACAGACAACACAGTGCTAAGTAGCTTTCGTGGCTCTCTTTAACTTTACAATTGAACATATTTTGTTTTGTTTTTTCTTGTTTTCTTTACTCCCTGACTGGAAACCAGCCCATCTTCCAGCTTTATTTTGCTGCTATTTTGTCGTCTTTTAAGTGCAAAGTCAAACCATTTTTCCTTCACAGATTTACTGAAGAAAAACGTAGCCTGACCTTTATAACCCAGATGCCAATGCCAAATATGAACTCTGACCCCTGTGTTCTACCAGTCCTTAAGAGCACCTAACTGTAAAACTTTTCATATAGTAGGCCTATTATATTAAAATATTTCATTAAAAAAATATAGGACAAGACTGCAATGGAATTCAATGCAGTAAAATCTCCAAAATATATTTCATGGATCTTAGATTTTAAGGCACAATTAAAAACACATCTTCAGACAAATATCTTCTCTCCCTTCTCCAACCACTGATTTATTTTGTTATTGCTCTATTAGGTTCAGTCTGCAGTGCAGTGTTAATTTATTATATTTTTTCTCTGCTCAGTACTGCATTCTGTAGCTATATTGTTTGTTTTTCTTTTTATATCATGACTCTATATAATAATTTTAGTTTTTTTCTTTATGTTTTTATAAAGTGACCTTGAGTGAATGCTTTTTTGTATAAATAAAATGTATGTTTTAATGTAAAAATAAATCTATAAATAACTATTATATATATATATATATATATATATATATATATATATATATATATATATATATATATATTATTTATTATTATTCCATTAAAACAAAAAAATATATAGGTAGTCTTCATGATGTCTTGGTGAGTTTTACACCATCTTCCATTATGTACATCAATATGTTCTCTTATGTTATTATGCATTAAATTTAAAAAGTAAAATTCAAACCACTTAAAACGTTTTAGGGTGGTATAAATATCGAATTCAGAGACTTGCATTAAACGTTGCACAAAACGTTGTAGTACATCAACAATCTGTGTGTTGCCTTGTTAAATCCTCCTGTGAATGTGTACATGTGTTGCAGGGGGCGCGCTTGGGAACTCTTTTTTTTTTTTTTTTACTGTGACTTTCATTTGTAGCAGCAGGGAGAGACGCAGACGGGATAGAGCTCGAAATCACCGCGACCCGGAACCGAGCAACTTCTCACTCACATTCCAAGAATATAACGGAGCCGCTGGCATGAACTAAACACACCGAGGTGGTTCGTTCTTTAGTACCCGCGTGCACGCTCGACTTTATCTGTTGTTTACTTTCCATTTTTGATTGTTGCACGAAATCAACCGCCTTGAATCACAGGCAGGCAAGCCAGGGAAAGCAGAAGTCTCTCAACTCGCCTCGGGCGCTCGTTCTGCAGGCATGTCGCAGAAAGAAAGACCCACTTTCTATCGACAGGAGGTCAACAAGACAATATGGGAGGTCCCTGTGCGATATCAGAACTTGTCTCCCGTCGGCTCTGGTGCATACGGATCTGTAAGGTAAATATTGATGTGTTGTTTCGATGGCGGAACGATGTGTCCCATTCATTCTTACGGGCCCGTACAGCATTGCACTGCGTTAGCAAACTTGCTAATAAGACCAAAGTCCGTAGTTTGTTATGCAAGAGGGATTGCTAGTTACAAAAAGCGGGTTAAAAGTGTTTGTAGTGTTGCAGCGTGTTTTATTGTGTCTAATTTACGCTTTATAAACATTTAAAGCCGCGCATGTTGCGAATGCCACATCGCGTGCATGCCACTTCAGTTGCAAAGTGATAAACCTTTGCAGTGGATGGCCAACGCGACGCACACGTTAACAGTTGTTACTAGCGATTCAAGTCGAAGATATGAACGCGATGCACTGCAAAGCTGTTTATGATACAGAATCACATTTTTCTTCATTCGCCCTACTTCGTGGTGTAGTGTGGTCTTAACGCGAACATCTGGTGGGGTCTGTCCTGAATGAGGTCACCCACAGATGATGCATCATGCCTGTGTCCCAGAATCAAGGCAGCTGCCGTTTTGGCCACCTTAGTGCGCTTGTGATGCGCAAAATTGCTGTCTTTGTAGGAAACTCGTTAGGTTTTGAAACGCAGCCAATGAGTCAGAGCTGCTTGAGATTTCAAGAGTGTTGTCAGTGATTCATAACACTTATTTTTCTCGTTTGCTTGTAGTAACACCCAGGATGAGGTGAAGCACTGGGTTTGTCTTATGTTATTATCTTAATCTCGTAATTAATTCCTCTGGATTGCTCGTTTGGTTTGTTTAGCTGCAATGAGGAAGTTTGTTGGTGGTTTTTTGGTGATGTTTTCTGGCACAGTTGGATTAATGATTCACTTAAAGGTGCACTCAGTAATTTGTTGCCAATTAACAAAACATTACAGATAAATAAATGAGCCACTAATTTCAGACAAAAATGATTAAAATTCTATTTAAAAAATGGCCATTTGCAAACACATTGTCTTTGTGATGTCACACAATGTTTTCAGGGAATCAACCCACAAATAGTTTCTGTATAATAAAGAGGACTCTGAGATAATTTTACATTGCAAACATTGCACATTTCAGCTTTTAAATGGTCATAATTGGCAAACACACTTGTCAAGACACAATGTTTTTCTGAGGAGTTGTGACCTTGTTTTAACCAGTCATGTTTGTGCACATCGAGAGACTTGTTTGGTTTCTTCCTTAAACTCAAAACAAGCGTTATCTCACTCTTTAATGTTTGCAAATGATTTTCAGAAAGGTCTCTGTTATATTATTAAACAGACAGGTGTTTGAGGGCCAGGCTCGTTTTCTAAATTACTCCTACTCGGGGCAGACAGGTTGTTTATGCACCAAAGTGACTGTTAGAAGTTGCGATGCTAGGCAATCATGCTATTTAGATTATATTTCATGGGCCCCCTTATTGTGTCTGTGTAATTGAATATCTGATGAACAGATTGCACTAGGTTTGAAGTGCCAGGCTCATCTCTCAGCTCATGCAGTGTATTCAAAAAAGGGAAGCACTGAGATTTTCTTTAAAAAGATCTATTAGCTAGTTCTCTCAGAGTCAAATTATACATGTAAAATATCCTATGGTTCTTGAAAGTTTGTATCATGACTCTCACTGTTAGTACAACTGCATAACTTGTAGCAGTCATTGTGTGACAAATTCTTAAACAATTTGTCCTTGAAAAGGTAGTTTGTGATTGGTTGCAATAGGTACTTTTTGCTGTTTAGTTCCTTCTATAAACCTTGGTAGTTATTTCCATGAGGAAGTGAGAATCTGGTGGGTTTTTGTTTCAGTCTGAAATGTATGGCAAGTTAAATCAGTGCCTTTTATATGTTGACTTCTACTTCCAACCATCTTTAACTTTGTTTGGTCCTGTTGTAGCATGTTGGAGTTTCAGTTGTGCAACAAAGTGAAGTGTGACGACATGATTGAATCATGTGTGTTTCAGCTCTGCATACGATGAAAAGACAGGATTGAAGGTCGCCGTGAAGAAGCTGTCAAGGCCATTTCAATCCATCATCCATGCCAAGCGGACCTACAGGGAATTGCGACTACTCAAGCATATGAAACATGAGAATGTGAGTTTGGGTCATATGTATTATCAACCTGACAAGGCTAATATGAAGAGGAGCAGATGGTAATACCAATGGTTAAAGGCTTAGTTCATCCAAATATTATAAAATTCAATATGGCTTCTAACCTTAAGGTCTATGGGGCAACATAATAACCATGAGTGAATTAGGCAACCTAGATTAATAGGATGTTAACAAGAGTTACTGCACAAGACAAAAGTCCTTTCTGTGTTGGGTCTCCCAACATAATTCACAATAAAAATTATTGTTGTAAATCATAAAATAGAATAGGTCAATAATAGGATGTTTACAGTAAAATAGCAGTGATATGCAATTGGAAATGTGGGTTATTATACCCTTAAATCAAGCCCTGTCACTGAGCTATTGTTTGCTCCAGGGGCTCTAGAACATAATTTTTCTCGCAAATTTTGAGCAGCCCTCCTCTGCTATTAGGTTTAGCCATTATTCTGTCTGTCAGAATGAAACGGGTATTAAAACATAGTAATTCCTTTCGTATTTGAAATTGGGGAAATCTATATCTGCCTAATTCTAGATTTCCCTGTGAGCTTATGCAATGAAATCTTAATGCAAGACTGTACACGCTGTACTAAATGATTCTGATTTGCACTTTGTGCTTGCAGGTGATCGGCCTGCTGGATGTTTTCACACCTGCCACTAGCCTGGAGGAGTTTAATGATGTGTGAGTCAGACAATTAGTTCCTCCCCAAGTTATCTTTTTGCTGGACTTAATACATTTTTTTCTTCTTTGGTTATGAATATGACTATACTTCATGCAAGTGTTAATTAAACTGGAGGAAATAGTTCACTCAAACATTTGGGGTCAATAAGTTTATTTTTTTCAAGAAATTAATTCCTTTATTAAGCAAAGGCACATTAAATTGATTAAAAATGAGAGTAAGGACATTTATACTGTTGCCAAAAAAAAAAAAAATCTGTTTCAAATTAGAATCCTGAACAAATCTGGAAAAAACTTGTTTTTGTTTTCACGAAAATGTTAAACAGCTCGAATGTTTTCAGCATTGATAATAATACTAAGTGTTTCTTGAGCACCAAATCAGCATAGTAGAATGTGACACTGAAGACACCGATATAAAGTATGTTGTAAATAATACTCGCAACAATAATAATTTTGCAGTAATATTGTTTTACTGGATTTTTGATCAAATGATAAATGTGGCCTTGGTGAGCATCTTTCAATAATATTAAAGAAACCTTACTGACCTTAAACTTTTGAATGGTTGTGTAAATTCGTAAAAAAAAAATTTTTTCTTGCAAACAGGTGGCAAGACATCTAAAATAGAAAGTCTTTGTCTGCCAGTGCCAACTGAAGGTGTGACAGCACACCACATCAGACGCTTCCTGTATAAACAACTGTGTTGATCACAATTAGAGTGATTTGGTTTTGAGGCGCTGTTACCCGTCCTTTAGTACAGCTTTAATATAATCACTCCTGTGTGTTTAGCGCTAATTTTTCATACACTAAACGGAATAATGCATTATTTATCTTGTGCCATTTGTTACATGACTAGAAGCATGTATTCGAGCTCTCGTGGTTTTATGGAGCTTTGGGTTTCCACAGTGACAGCTTTTTGTGCTGCCTGGCTCCAGCCTAGCAGCCGTGGGTTAGTGGGGAATGCTAAGGACACAGCCAGGTTGTAAAACCAGATGCTGTGGTGACTTAACATCGATTCAACTGCCAAAAATAGACCTGACGCACAGTAATGGATGAAGGGCATCTGCACTTTGCTTCAGTTTTTCATTTGTCTGTGCAAGTAGAAGTGATGTATATTTGTTTACTGTCTCTAATCTGTGTTTTTTCCCCCCAAATCTTTGTGGGGGTTGGATGTATTTGTTGATTATCTCTAATTCTGAGTGTGTTTATTGGGGGGAGAGTGTTTCTGGGATTAAGTAGAGCTTATTTTAAGCTCTGCTGTGTGTCACAACACAGTGGCTCTGTTTGACCTGTAGCTCCACCCTCTTGCTAAGAGTCAGTGCTTATTTAGACTCTGCTGTTTGTTACCATGAAGCGTTTGTTTAATAGGTTGAAGACTAATAATTGTTAATGTGCCTGAATATACTGTGAGAGGCTGGCCAGGTTCAGTGGTCAGCACTGTTTCAAATCAGCAAAATCAAAGGATTGACTCACTTAAATTAACCCTCACATATCTATTCTTTCTGTTCTTCCTTTAAGCAACCACTTGAGTATAACAGTCCTTAAGTAATAATATATATTTATTTTTTATAATTTATTATATATAGATGCTACAGTTTAAAATGTTTTTTTGGCAGAAGTCTCTTATGCTAACCAAGGCTGAATTAATTTAATCAAAAATACAGTCAAAACGGTAATATTGTAAAATATTATTACAATTTAAAATGAAGGTTTTCTGTATTATTTGTATGAAAATGTAATTTATTCCTGTGATAGCAAACTGACTTTTCAGCAGCCATTACTCCAGTCGACATTGTCACTTGATCCTTCAGGAATAATTCAGTTTGGTACTAACATTTTCTACATGTATCAAGGTTTAAAAAGTTCAAAAGAACTTCTTTTGTAACAGTGTGAAAGTCTTCAACTTCTGTTCAACCTTTACTGTTCAACTTCTACTATCAATCACTTTCGCTCAATCTAATGCATCCTTGGAAAAAAAAAAAAATCTTACTGGCCCCAAACTTTTTTTAACAGTAGTGTAATTTTGTTCTGAGGTCATTCTATGAATGCCCCCCCAAAAAATTTGTATCTAAAGTATTTAATCGCTATTGTAAGGAAAACATAATTGCAAAATATTGATTATATGATTGTATCATCGCATCTCTAGTTTTTATCTCCCTATAATTTCCTGTTTCTTCTCTCACAGTCCCAAAATAAGCATTAAAATATGTGCAAGCAGTTACCCCTGAATATTTACATGAAAACTGATCCAGTGGCAAATCTTGATGATGACAGTACAGTGTTTCCCCTAGGTTTACGGCTTTTTTTCTGGACTCCTTTTTAATGGTTAAATTACATTTTATTAATCAAAAAGCATGTCTAATTAATTAAAATCATGAAACTTAAACAATTTAACATCAATTTATTAGCAGTTTAACAAATATTACGTTTAGGGCCCTATGAAATGTTTTATTTGTCCAACCTTATGTTTTATTGTAACCAAATTCTGTTTTAGCATGTCTAATTTGAAAGCATAAAACAAGTTTCATTTATTCTTACAATAGCCTTATAAATCTTTTGCTAAAAAATTCTGTGTTGTGTATTTACATTTTGTTTTAAGGCATAAAACATTCATTTAATCTATCTTTTAAGTAATGAAAATTAAATTACATTTTTTGGAAAATAAAGGTCATTTAATATTACAATTAAAACATTGAAGAAATATTGAATGCCTATTCCTTAAAAATAAGGTTTTAATAATTTTAGTAGTAGTAGTAGCAGTCTGTTAAGTACATTCTACTCAACAATCGTAATATATTTCTGCCGCAATGCCCTCAAGTTAAACCGAACTTTTATTTTGACGGGTTGCCGTGAATACCATTACATTTCTGTGCGTGTATAATATGAGGATAGTTTTACTCAGATAAAACGATCAAATGCTAAAGAAGTGATTCTCAGAGCAGTTCTGGAGTTGTTGTTCATGTATTATGTCCTCATTAGTGAGACGGCAGAGGTTAATATCACCTGAAGCGTCACGAGCGTTTCAGTACGAGTACTACACATATTTAAATATTTATGTGGCTTAATATTTACAAATACTAGTAGGAGTGGGCTCACTTGTGTGTGTGTGTGTGTGTGCATGAGCGCGCGCATCGGGCGGGCCGCCCCCCTAAAATAATGGCAGGGGAAACACTGCAGTAGTCAGAAGTTCCTCCATGGCCAAAGTTTAAGTTGTTGCTTCACTTTAGAAGCACAGTCAAACTTCTAAGCAAAACAAGATTAATGGATTTTATTCAACCCGAATTAAATGTTCCCTACATTTCATGCTATGCTGTCACTCCCAATACCAGGTTAAACAGTTTGCATGAGCGCGCGCATCGGGCGGGCCGCCCCCCTAAAATAATGGCAGGGGAAACACTGCAGTAGTCAGAAGTTCCTCCATGGCCAAAGTTTAAGTTGTTGCTTCACTTTAGAAGCACAGTCAAACAAGATTAATGGATTTTATTCAACCCGAATTAAATGTTCCCTACATTTCATGCTATGCTGTCACTCCCAATACCAGGTTAAACAGTTGGCAGGCAGGAGAATAACATTCTTGTGTTCTGTTTGTATTATGTCCTCATTAGTGAGACGGCAGAGGTTAATATCACCTGAAGCGTCACGAGCGTTTCAGTACGAGTACTACACATATTTAAATATTTATGTGGCTTAATATTTACAAATACTAGTAGGAGTGGGCTCACTTGTGTGTGTGTGTGTGTGTGTGCATGAGCGCGCGCATCGGGCGGGCCGCCCCCCTAAAATAATGGCAGGGGAAACACTGCAGTAGTCAGAAGTTCCTCCATGGCCAAAGTTTAAGTTGTTGCTTCACTTTAGAAGCACAGTCAAACTTCTAAGCAAAACAAGATTAATGGATTTTATTCAACGGCAGGTAAATGTTCCCTACATTTCATGCTATGCTGTCACTCCCAATACCAGGTTAAACAGTTGGCAGGCAGGAGAATAACATTCTTGTGTTCTGTTTGGCAGGTACCTGGTGACTCATCTAATGGGTGCTGACCTGAATAATATTGTGAAGTGTCAGAAGCTGACCGACGATCATGTTCAGTTCCTTATTTACCAGATCCTGCGAGGGCTTAAGGTGAAACTGCACTTTTTCAATCCTGTAACGAACACAAACAGGAATCTCTTAAGTCTGATGTAAATAAGATTTCATCTGAAATCTATCTGGAATTTGATTCTCTCATGTAGCTTAACACTTTTTAAATATTTTTCTTTTAATTTTACCAGTACATCCATTCGGCTGACATAATTCACAGGGTAAGTGTTCATTCAGGCTTATGAGAAATGGCCTGCAGGCTTTTTGTCCCCTCAAAAAATTGTGTGCTGCCCCGTGGAGCCAATTCTCCCTGGCATCACCATTGTGTATGCTCAGGCCTGTTGTTGTGCAAAGACTAAAGCTAGAAATTGCTAGAAATTAGTTCTAGAAAAGAATGACATTTTTTTTCCATGGAAGTTATGTTGGTAAACTGAAAGCAGTCCATCTTGAAAAGATTTTGACAGTATTACAGCTCACATAACTTTTTTTTGTTTTAAAACGTGTTCATGTTTATGAGTTCATATCGCTTAAAAAAAAAAAGGCATTTTCATTTGTTTTTATGAATTTGAAGTTGAAATGTTTTGTCTGTGGTAATTGAAATGCAAGGAGATGTGTTACAGCTATACATTTAATTCATAAATAGCTGCAAATATTCCTTTAAAACAGTTGGTTGTAGTGGTATAAAGAAATTGTCCATGGAAGTTATGTTGGTAAACTGAAAGCAGTCCATCTTGAAAAGATTTTGACAGTATTACAGCTCACATAACTTTTTTTTGTTTTAAAACGTGTTCATGTTTATGAGTTCATATCGCTTAAAAAAAAAAAAGGCATTTTCATTTGTTTTTATGAATTTGAAGTTGAAATGTTTTGTCTGTGGTAATTGAAATGCAAGGAGATGTGTTACAGCTATACATTTAATTCATAAATAGCTGCAAATATTCCTTTAAAACAGTTGGTTGTAGTGGTATAAAGAAATTGTAAAGTAATATTAACTAATTGTTTCCCAGGACTTGAAACCCAGTAATCTGGCAGTAAATGAAGACTGTGAACTTAAGGTGAGTCTGTCATTTGTTTTTGTTTTAGTTGTTATACTTTTGCTTGTAGTGTGGTTACTCAATACATCTTGTAAATAATAATAATAATGGCACTGTTTGTTTTTTTGTATCTCAGATCCTTGACTTTGGTCTGGCTCGACACACAGATGATGAGATGACAGGGTATGTGGCCACAAGGTGGTACCGTGCTCCAGAGATCATGCTTAACTGGATGCACTACAACATGACAGGTAACAATTTTTTATAATATTAATGTTGAAAACAGCTGTGCTGCTTAATATTTTTGTGGAAACCACAATACTTTTTTTTTTTTCCTTTTCAGGATTCTTTGAATAGAAATTTTAAAGAACAGCTTTTATTTTGAACATAATTTTTTTATAACAATGTAGATGTCTTTACTTTTGATCAAGTTAATTCATCCCTGCTGAATAAAAGTATTACATTCTTAATTCTTACTGACCCCAAATGTTTGAATGGTAGCATAGTTAAAACAAATACCAAACAAGCTGACTGGCTCATGCTAACCAGCCAAGTCTTGATGGGTTTGCCTAAATATCTTTTGAGGATTGTGGCTGTTGATCCATGCCATTTTTACAGCCCTCTGTATCAAGACATCTGGGTCAGCACACAAGAGAGGGAACATGTGCTTGCTGCCTCTCCACTAATGTTGTTGATTTCTTTTCAGTGGACATTTGGTCAGTGGGCTGCATCATGGCTGAGCTGTTGACAGGCAGGACTCTGTTCCCTGGCACAGATCGTATCCTTTTCCTCTCATTTCCCCTTCGCTGACCTGCAAAACACTCTCTGTAAATTGCACCATGGCTCCAAGCCAGAAAATGCATGATTTTTAAGTGCGTATTTGCTCTCATGCTGATTTAAATGTATACAAATCGTATTACAATTTATTTATTTTTCTTCCCTTTCTCTGTCCTTGCAGCGTGTATTTGGCAGGTCTGTCTGCCTCTTGTATTAAACTGAACTTTTGTCCCTTCCGCCTTCAAGCTGCGCCCCAAGATGCAACAGTGATTTGAAGGATATAACATCCATCATTATGAGAACGCAATAAACTGCCCTGCAGGAAATGACATGCCTATTTCTCTCTTTCTCGCTCTTTAATTTCCAATGACAAATGTTTTCAGGTTCAGCTCTTGCAGCGTGTTTTACCCCCTGGCTTTGCATATTTGACACTCTGTATCTTGAATGACTGCTCCTCTAAATGCATCTGGCTCCACAACCCATGGAACAGAAATACTTGCCAAATATTTCCCCCCTCTCACAGGCAGAGCACACCTGTGCAGCTACTTCTGACTTGCTTTTGCTGGGCAGGCAGAAAATATTCCACCTGTGCTATTTTTACTAGGTTGCTTGCCTTTCCACAGATGTGACCAAAGCTTCTATGCCTTCCTGTTCTTTAAGTACACATGAAACCAAAATAAGCGTTTCCTGCTTTGTTTTTGTGGCCTGTTCGTTGTTGAGCCACACTAGTTTTCCTTCATCTTATTGTACTAGACATCGATCAGTTGAAGCTTATTATGCTTCTGGTTGGAACTCCAGGACCTGAGCTGTTAATGAAAATATCATCGGAGTCTGTGAGTTTGATATATTTAGGAAGTGTGTACTTGCTAAAAACGCCTGTCTGTGTTGATTTTCAAAGTGGCAAATACATTTTAAACTGGCAGCTGTATTAGCTTTTATTATAGCTTTTATCTGGTCCAGGCTGGATCGGGATTCTTTGAATATTACGTTCAAAAGAACAGTATTTATTTGCAATATATTTTTGTACTATTATAAATATATTTACTGTCATTTTTTTAATGAATTTAATGAATTCTTGCTGAATAAAAGTACTAATTTCTTTTAAAATAATAAATAAATCAATAAACACTGACCCAAAACTAGTGCGAGGTGGTAGACCATTTTGGACCAGCTACAAAAGTAGTTACCATAAGTGATCAAGCTAGGTTTTGGAACATGGTGGCTGGTCGACCAGCTAATGATCCGCTTGGACCAGCTAGAAATCAAAGTACAGTTAACGGTGTAAGCTGGATGTTCCAACAGGGAACGTGTGTTGATTGTCACTAATTAAAAAGTATATTTTTCCAGTGTTCTCTAACTAAACTTTGACCGTTTGACTTCACTTTTAGATGAAGGACTGATTTGAGGTTCTGTTTGGGACTGAATCATGACATCTAAACTGAAATGAACAAGCCTGATTTTTGTCTTCCAGCTCTGCTGATGTGTTTCTGAACTGATTCTATTCCTTGTCAAAATCTCTTACTATCCAAAGCATGACATTCCTCTCTGCTGTATATGAACACAATTTGCATGCCAATTCCTTCTCCCTCTTTGTTTGATCCTGTCTTCCTCCCTAGATCAGTGGCGAGCCACAATATAATGTCCAGATAACATTTGATATATATGCATTAAACTAAATTTGTTGACCGTTAGCTCCTTGACCCGGCCTTCAAAGATATAAACCAGCTTCAACAGATAATGCGACTTACAGGAACTCCACCTGCCTCTCTAATAAGCAGGATGCCTAGCCATGAGGTGAGCTCGCTGTCGCCCAGCCCTGTTTGCAGAATACCTCTCATGACCTTTAATTAGCAGACCTCACTTTGGAAATACGGACTGCATTTAGAAGAATTAAAGAAGTCCTACTAACATATAACAAAACAATATCACACAATCAAGAGTGCTTTTGTACGGCCCAGGTAAACACAGCCTTTTGTAATCTCTCCAGTTTCTAGCTCACTGGTGTGAGAAACCCCAGTCTGAGTGTTCCTGAAGTTACAGAAAATACTGCTACTCTGACTTCCAAAAAAACAACAACGCTTCCACTTACACTGCACAATTCAACATCGGAGACTCAGAAAAGCTGAGTGATACAACTAGCGACACTGGACTGAAAACCCACTCAGCCAATCAAATTCGGAGAACAGAACAAAAATATTAATTGGAACATTTTCAAGTCAGCTTAAAACAGTATTTTATGTAGAGAATATAAGCAAATGTAATGGTGATAATAGATTGCACCCAATTTAGTTCCTCCATCTTCTCCACTTTCTCCTTTTCTCACTGCTTGCCGCTGAGCTGTCAAGTTATTCGCTGATCTATGTGAGCTGAAATCACTGTCTGTCATCGCCAGCACAGACCCCTCTGCCTTCTGAAGCTGTTTGTTTGCTGCTGCATTCAAATGGCACTGCATGCTAACACCACAATGTTATGATTCCCAGTGTTAGCAATGTATGTGCAGAACGCAAGCAGTTGTCATGGTGATCAAGTCAAGAATTACCAACAAGCTCAATTCTTAATTGTAATGTTAACTTTAAATGAACACAGCTGATACTTTGATAATGACATTATTTTATTAACTCTTGACTGCTCACGATTCAACTGTCTATTTCCACAGGCTCGTACTTACATCAACTCACTTCCTCAGATGGCCAAGAGGAATTTTGCTGATGTGTTTATCGGGGCTAATCCACAAGGTAAAACTGGCATGTTTTGGCTACAGAAGAGACTGCATTTATTTGATCAAAAGTTCTGCAAGAGCAGTAATATTGTGAAATATTATTGCAGTTTAAAATAACTGTTTTCAAAAAAACAAAAACAAAAAAATTATTTATTCCTGTAATAGCAATGCTAAATTTTCAGCAGCTGTCAAAAAAAAAAAGTTGTTGCTTGTTTTTGTGGAAACTGAAACCTTATTTTTTTTTTCTTTGAGTAACAAAAAGTTCAGAAGAACAGCATTCATCGGAAATAGAAATATTTTCGAACATTCTAACTGTTCTTTACTCTAACATTTGATAAATGTAATATGTCCTTGCTAAATTTGTAGGGTTTTTGTGTGGTAGTGCATTTTGTAGGTTACTTTGAACAAATATTTTTGAGAAAAATATGCTGGAAATATTTAATTTTGATTAAATACTTGATTCTTTATGTTTTAGCTGTGGACCTTCTAGAAAAGATGCTGGTTTTGGACACAGATAAGCGCATCACAGCGGCGGAGGCTCTGGCTCACCCATACTTTGCTCAGTACCATGACCCAGATGATGAACCCGAGGCAGAGCCTTTTGACCAGAGCTTTGAGAGCCAAGAGCTTGATATCGAAGAGTGGAAACGTGAGTCAAGGATTTTTGGTCTGTTTATATACAAAAAATGCCAGTTGGCACAAGTTACAAGTGCTTTAAGCAGTTTTGTTCACTTTTGAGCATTGAGTTTACCACCCCACCCCATCCCATCAACAACACACTCTCCCTCCAAAACCCCATCCTCCCACCCTGAACCAGTGTTATTTTAAGTATCATTTATATACTTGTATATTATTATACTATATTTATATTAATTTACTATTACTTTTTTAATAAACCATTATTATCACTAATTGAATTGGGTTTTATTTTTATAGATATTTTAATGAAATGTTTAGTCATTTTGTTCTGTGTGCATTTGTCATTTTTATTAGTTTTTGTTTTTAAAATATTTATATTTAGGTATTTTCATTTTAGTTTTTATTAATTTCCAGTTAGTATTTTTAGTGCTTCAACTTAAAATTTATTTCAGTTAGTTGCCTAGGCAATATTTCTAATTTGTTTAGTTTAAGTTTTGAATCTAATATTTATATATCTTTTTTTTCAGCTTTATTTCAATTAATAAAAATGTTTTAGTTAACGAAAATAAGGGGCTGTGTCAGTTCAGTTTTGAATAATCTAGATTTATGTTTTAACGTATGTTGCAGTCACAACCTTTATGGTTTGTTTTCTGTTCCTGCTCAGGTCAGACATATGAAGAGGTGATAAGTTTTGAGCCGCCAGTCTTTGACGGAGATGAAATGGAATCTTGACCTTTTCTTCTGGATGGCAATCAAACCAACTGTACTACTTCTACAGTAATGCTGTCATTTTGCAGTATTGTAATCAGCCAGTCAGTAGGATGTTTGACTGTTTCTTTTCATATTTTTAATGTTGTCTACTGGGCCAAACAGAAGGAATAGAAGTCATAGAAAATATTATTTTACACATTGAATCTTTTCAAAAGAATCTGATGGTAATAATATTAACAACTTTTTTTTGTTTTCCTTAATGATTAGTTTTGGTCAGTTCCATGATGTTCATATATGACAGTCATGCAAGTCTACTTGTAAATGTAATATCTCGTAGTAGTATTTAGTTGTGCTGTTCTTTCTGTGTACAATGTATCACATTTGCAGTACTTTTAAAATGTTCAGAAAACGTTGTTCATTTAGTTTCTGTTAATATATATATTTTTCCAATCAAATAATGAGCATTGTATTTAACGATTTACAGTATGTTCCTCATTAATCAGTTTTCATAAAGATGGAATTTATTGGAGGCTCCTTTGATAGAGCTAGGATGAAAAATGTAAATTGTTGCATTGGATATTGGTGATAAGTTTAGGTTATTTGTAAATATACATTTCATAAAGCTTTTGGAATCTGTAGCTGTTTTATTTCTGATCTTTTTCACAGTGTTTGTGTATGTTTCATAGAGAGAGGTTGTGTGTGTGTGAGTGTGTGTGTGTGTCCACCTGAGGTTGCTACTATGAACCCTATTCGATCTGATTCTGCTTCCAGTAGTTTTTTAAAATGCTATTAATTGAATGTTGAAATATGAAAGCGGAGTAAGATATTTATACTGTTGAGGTGGTATTTATGAACCTGAAAAGCTCTCTTCTTTAGCACCTGACAGAAAACATGGAATCAAACACCATTGTTTACTGAAAATAAAGGCCGATATTTTTCAGAAACTTCTGCTTCTTTGTTTTGATTGTTTGTTTTAGGTTGAACAATAGAGTGTGAGGTCATTATTGACCTTTTCAACAACTTGGGTCTGAATTTCATTTAAAAATGTTATTTAAAAAAAAACATTTTATGACCAATGCATCTTCAAGATTTTCTTCAATCTCAAAATTACCACAGTAACCATAATTTACCATAGTAACCGCTGTAACTATGGCTACCATGATTTACCTGCGCTTTGTTTTTGTGCTTATCGAAGTCATCGTTTGGTAGTTTAAAATGCGCACGTCTTGCTACTTCTGTAACATCTTTCAATTCGATGTATAATTGCGAAAGTAATTACAAAAAATGTAATTAAAAAAAATAAAATGTACTGGGATGAATTAAAAAAATGACAGGTCGCACCGTGGACGTGCAAGAGTCAAGACGCGCATGCGCAGAGCCACCCAAGCGCCAACTAAGGGGCCAACATGGAGAGAAAAGGTAATCTCTTCCTTGACTTTCTCTGAATGATATTTGCCTTATTGGAAGCTATAGCGATTATACATGAGGCAAGGTGACTAACTTGCATTCTGACTCAAACGAGTAATGTAATATTACAGCAAAAGGGCGCATTTTGCCTTGTGTTGGGACGCACGAGCTGGTGTCTTTAGCGTTAGCATGTAGCCACTCAGTCTGCAGCTGAAGTGAGCTACATTTATTTTCATCACTCCCCAAATGCATATTTTATTGTCGGTTTGTATCGGCTTCACTTTAAGCGATTTCACATCTCTTTTGTTTTAGATAAACGTTAATCTTATGAGTAACGTTAGACGCGTGCACGTATCAGCTGGATGAGAGTTGAAAGCGTCTGTTTTCCTCCTCTTTGCTGTCGTGGAAACTTCAGGAATTTATTTCCTTCAGCCTCGTTTTTGCATCCATGTTTCTGGCGCTGTAAAAATAGATAACACATTCATGTTATTAAAGAGCCACGTCTACACTCATGTAAAGCGCTCAGTTCCTGTCACACTGTGTATTGTTTATGTGCATTATATAAGATTACATAAGATCACTATAACCGGTCTGTGCGTCTCCTGTATTATGGTCAGGCTATGTTTGACTGTGTTTGAGCAACTGAGTTTAAGTGATTTTTATTAATAGTTTCATTGTCATATGCTGGATCTCATTTGTCACACCAGTTCTGGCACTTCAGGCAAGGAAGAAAAGGGCCAAAGCCAAGAAGTCGACCAAGAAGTGAGTTTGTGCTTTATTCTCTTGTTTTTTCCTGCTAGTATTTATCTGGCTGATCATTTGGATTTTTAAAATGAGAATGTTACTAGACCTAAGAAGGACTGCCTATATGTAAACTGGACCGTGCACAGTTAAACACTTTTCTGGAATGTGATTATTGGACATTAAGACATTAGGAACCACAATATGGTGTACAATTGTGTCTTTAGACTTTTAATAATGTCCTGGAAGTTGCAGAGTGGCTGTTAAACTTGGTGTCAGTTTAGACGCCACTGTTTTGATGTGTACAGAATGAGTCATATTGAGTTTGCTCTGATTATTCAGTCTTAACTGTTGAACGATGTTCATTTGATAATATTTTGGCAGAATGAAGTCATCTTTTTGGCATGCACAGTATCAAGATGCACTTTCCTTCACTTCAGTTTTTTAAATGATGTAAGAAACGGGTGTTTTTCTTGCATGGGTTAAACCAAGCATGGATACATGCAGTTAGTGAAATGCATTCAAACACTGGTAGACTTTTTACTCAATTGTGTGTCAAGAGCTTATGTGGTAGAAAACGAAACGCTGGCTGTGTGCACATTGTGTTTCTTGGATTTAGATTCAGTTGACTGATTCAGATGAAGTTTCATTCAGAAGAGTTTTTTCAACAAGTCAAGTTTATTCATTTACACTCTTAATAATAATGATTCGACATGGGGATTTTGGCATAACTTTTTTTTCTTAGTGTGAAGAACATTTTAATAATCTAAAGAAAATAAACTTTTTAGGACTGAAAAGATTCCATGATTGGTTAAAGTTCTTCATGAAACCAACAATGCAAATAAAGAACTTTCAATTTGAACAATGTTTTCTAACAGTGTTTTTTTTAAACAATACAGATTGTTTTAAAGCAGCTTTGCAGTAATAAACAGCAAAACAGCATCAGCAAGTTGTTCGATCAGGATTCAGTCATTTTAGTTATAATTACAACTTCTGTTTCACCTATAAAGCAATTCTACAAAAGATTATATAGCTGCATTATTCAGGACAGTTCAGTTTGGTTATTCAGTGAGCTCATTGAATAAATAAAGGTGTTTTTATGTGGTAAGATATAGTTTTTATGTAGGTCCTTTGATTGTAGCATGTCAGAAATGAGAATCACATGCTGAAACGGTTGTCAGAATATTTATACCTTGTAAAAATCAGCATCATAGTGTCTTTAATGTAAGATGACCGCTCTGTGAGAGTTTAAATTGTAAGAGGACCTCCCTATATAGACTGTGCTGTAAAGCTTGTCCATTGACCTAAATGAAATGTGCTCTCATCCCTCAGGCCAGTACATCCTCCACGCGGGGCATTACAACAGCAGCAGCCTCCTACAGAGACCCAGATACAGGAGCCCGACGAGGAAATCCTGGGCTCTGACGATGAAGAACAAGAAGATCCTAATGACTATTGCAAAGGTTGGAGACAAAGCTCTACAAGTTATTTTTGACAGCAGAAGTTACAGTTTGATCTGTAGACGAGACTTAAAATTGCTGAAATGACATGACTAGAGGCACTTCCTTGTTTCACGGTTGTTGTTGTTGTTTTTTTGCAAGTATCTGTTGGGGAAACTAAAATGCTTCCTAAACGTGCATAATAGGTTGTTTGCAATCACGTGATTCTGATGACGTGCGAAATGCAGCTGGAGGGCAGGAAGTGATTTTTCTCCATAGAAATCACTAGCAGAAACCCAAAATACCTGTGTTTTGTGTTGTTTATAGATGCTCAAATAGGCCAAACCGAGAAACCACGCGGAGCCAAGAAGTCAAAAGTCAAGAAATTGACTGAAATCCGCAGGAAAAAGTGGCTTGTAAACCTGCGTCTGCGGTAGGGAGGAGCGAAGCCGGATAATGCTCATGTGTGCAAATGGTTAATATAAGATAATATATAAAAATATTAATAAAAAAATATGTAAATAGGTACAGGGTGACACTGTCAGAATTCACGGAATGTTAAACGCCACACACAGACACGATGTAAATAAGATATTGCAGTTCTGAGAGCTTCATATCACGGAATCGTGAGATTGCGATAAATTGAAGTGAGTGACAGCTTTTTAGTGATTAGCGTTATATGAAAGCGCTATTGGCTCGCTTTCTAGGCTATAATCGATTCAGAATTTAAATAAAAGTTGTTTTACGTGCTGCTAACAGGACCAACAGCCACATACCCTGTAACTTGCATGCAGCAAAGTTTCAGGAGTGACGTATATTCCACATCCCTCATATAAATACAGGATTCACTTTCGAAATAGCTTGTTTACAATCAGGGTTAGTTGCTTAGCCTATATCCACCGCCTCAATGGCAGGCAAGTATTTAAAAATTTAGTTTAAAAATCTTTATAACATAAGGATCACGTCCAGCATGCTGTGATTTATAAATACCTTTCTCTTGTAATAGCGTGGTGGTTGAAGAGAGATCCCCTCATGATTGTAAAGCACGGTGGGTGTATAGAAATTCAATGAAAGCGCTATATATATATATATGTGGCTGTTGGTCCTTTTAGTAGCACGTAAAACAAAACTTTTATTCAAATTCTGAATTGATTATAGCCTGCCTAGAAAGCGAACAAATAGCGCTTCCATATAATCACTAAAAAGCTGTCACTCGCTTCAATTTATCGCAACCTCACGATGTTTCTTGATAATCAGTGAAGCTCTCTGAACTGCAAATAATATCTTATTTACATTGTGTCTAGGTGTGGCGTTTAGAATTCTGAATGCGTGAGAGGTGGCAGCCCAATCTATATATTTCTTTATTAATATCTTAATATATTATTATATCCCATAATAACCATTAGCACGCATGAGCATTATCACATGAGCTTCGCTCCTCCCGACCGCAGACGCAGGTTTACAAGCCACTTTTTCCTGCGTTCTTCAATCAATTTTTTTACTTTTCCCCACTTATGAACAACACATTTTCGAACACGATAAAAGCTCCTTGTGGTTTCTCAGTTTGGCCAATTTAAGCATCCATAAACAACGCAAAACACAGGCCTTTTGAGTTTCTGCTAGTGATTCCTACGGAGAAAAATCACTTCCTGCCCTCCAGCTGCATTTCGTGTGTCATCAGTGACGTCATGTGCAAACAACCTATTACTGTAAACTGCAAAATAAATGGATATTTGGTTGGAAACGAATATTTGGTACTCTAAATATAGGAATGGCATCATCCTCTGCGTGTTTCAGATATCTGTGATTTAAAAAAAAAAATGTATGTAACATAGAAGTGATGTTATTATTTTATTATTTTGTACTTATTAATTATTTACTTATTTTAAAATGTCAATAGTCTGGCCAAGTTCTAATTTCTATTTTTGTCTAAATGTACTTTAAATTGATTGCTCAAGATCAGTCCCTAACAAAATGACAATCAAACCAGCCCTAAAGGACAATTGATGAGCTTTCTGAATACAAGCTGAAGGATTGCTGTTCTGCTTTGTTCAGGAGGATATCACCATGTGAAAATTGGGGACCTACTCAATGGCAAATACCACGTGATCCGGAAACTGGGATGGGGTCATTTCTCCACTGTGTGGCTGGCCTGGGACATCCAGTAAGAGCTATGTCATTTTGAATAACATAAGACACATTATAATGTGCCAACATTGCATATGAATCCGTGTATCATTTGTTTTTTGATTTAATATTGAAAGTAGAAAATTTTTCCAAAAAACGAGAATTCAGCTTAAATTTTCGTTTTTCGTTCATGGGTGGAAAAATGAATAAACGGCTTGAATATTCAGTGGTTCATGTTTGTGGCATGCGCGAGAAAGATGCTCCAGGAGACCGAGACGGGCTAAAGCAGCGCATTCTGTTGTTCTCTTTATTTTTCAAAGGCATGACATTTTGTAGTTATTTTGAACGTAACGTTACACAATTAAAAATATACATTTTACCATACGACTATAAATGACAGAGTATTAAGTTATTTCCCTTCGATGGGGAAAAAAATCCAAGTGAACATCAGTACTCAATATTAATTTAAACTGCTTTAAATATGACTGCTGCTTATTTCCTGTGCACTTCAATACTGGTCTGTGCTTGACTGTAGTCTGGCCTACAAAGTAGTTTCGCTTTCACAACGAAACAGCGTCACACACCGCGGCATACAGTGAGCCGAGGCCGGGGGATAAAGTGAGGAACGACGGGAGGGTTAGAGTGAGCAGAGGCGTGGGCTTGAGAACGGCGTGGACTATTAGTGGAGGATACTGCGGAAGAACTGATGACGGCACGGTTTGATCTTCGGCTGACCAATCAGCAGAAAGGGGTGTTTAATTCCCGCCTACATGTAGAAATCGAATATTCAAGCTGTTTATTCATTTTTCCACCCATGAACGAAAAACGAAAATTTAAGTTGAATTCTTGTTTTTCGTTTTTTGGGGGGGAAAAAATGAAAAAGGAGCCGTTTTCTCATTTTTCTACTTTCAATATTAAATCAAAAAACGAATGATCGAATGATACACAGATTCACTCCGCTTCTTCCACGGTGAAAGCCGATCCGGCACTGAAACAGCTCTGAAACAGCTCTGGATGAAATAAAGCTACTCAGATCTGTAAGTATCCAAAGAAACTTCTGAAACTGAAATGATTTAAATAATCATTTTAGAAAAAAGGAAAGGTTTAAAACAATGAAGATGAAATATATCGACAGCGATCGACAGCGCAAAGTTGTAGTATTTCCTCAGCAACCAGCACGGATCAGCTCCAGGCATGATGAAGCAGATATCGTCCTCTTTTGGAAGACCAAACAAAGTAGTTTTGCTTTTACAACGAAGCACACAGCGTCTTTATGACATGGCAGCGGAAACAACAAAACTGCAGCAAGAATAAAAGTTACGCCGCCTTTCTTTGCGTGAACATTTGGGCGGCGTTATGCAAATCTTCCCACAGAAAATTTAAGTTGAATTCTTGTTTTTCGTTTTTTGGGGGGGAAAAAATGAAAAAGGAGCCGTTTTCTCATTTTTCTACTTTCAATATTAAATCAAAAAACGAATGATCGAATGATACACAGATTCATATGCATGAACCAGTTTTTCTCTTCCTTTTTTTTTCTCTGCAGAGGGAAGCGGTTTGTTGCAATGAAAGTGGTAAAGAGTGCAGAGCATTACACTGAAACAGCTCTGGATGAAATAAAGCTACTCAGATCTGTAAGTATCCAAAGAAACTTCTGAAACTGAAATGATTTAAATAATCATTTTAGAAAAAAGGAAAGGTTAAAACAATGAAGATGAAATATAGATTGTTTAAATCATTTTTAATCAATTATATTAATAATTTTTTTTCTCTCTCTCTCTCTCTCTCTCTCTCTATATATATATATATATATATATATATATATTA